TATTATGATTGGTGTAACCGATTAAAAAATATAACGCGATTCACGATTTCGTAAAAATTCAAACGCGTGATGGACAATCTTCCGTTTGCCTTTGAGGGTAGATATTTTTGAAATAGAAAAAACACCAGCTTGCTTTATATTGTTTTACTGATCCTTTTTTAGAAATTAAAAAGTACATTGAGCAGACCTCAGAATGTGGCACTGTTCCATCCCTTTCGGGATTTGTCAGGCAAAATATTGATTTAGTAGTTCGCTCTCCTCCGAAAGGGACTGATTTTAATGGTTTAGATGGCACATGGAAAAAGCGGTTTATAACAACTGCAAAAATACTTAACGTGAAGGAAAGTATGAAATATTTGAATTTTCTGCATTTATGGCATCCCAGTCAGGTTTCGCCCTGTACTGTGGGTTGTTAGGTTTCGCCCTCGCCAGAGTGATGTGGGAAGCTCCAGTCAGGTTTCGCCCTGGATCTGTGGGTAGTTAGGTGTCGCCTCAACCCCATCATTGCGATAATTGCAACTTCTTATGACCTCTTTGATTAATTATTAGTTACTTAGTTGCTAGAGAGATCTTTTACTAATTGTCTTTAAATTTTTAAATATAAAGATTAAAATTAACGCACCTAATTGGAATAGTATTGTCGAAATGAGATGTGAGGTATGTTAAAAGAATTGAGTGTAGCTTCTATCAATTTCTTTATTATTAACGTGTATCAACATGTTATAGGAACGAATTACAGTCAAACGTCGTATAAATGCTTACTTCATGTATGAAAACGAACACGAGATTATTGGAAATCAATTATCGAAAAACCAGGAAAATCATCTTGCAAGTCATAAACCTAATCTACAGAACGAAGAATCTACAACGATTGATGAGAAAGGAATAAATGCCGTTCAGAAAGGACCGTCACCAGATATTGTTGATTATGATGGGTTGGTTAGCAAAAGCATTGCATTCGATGGTAATATCCCTTTTTGCCTTGTGTTTATCTAAACAAGATTGTTGAAATTATTATTTGCTGTGCAGATGGCTATAAACCCCCCCATCAAATTACAAGCAATACATATATTAATGAAATATCAATTGACGAAAATATTTTAAGAATATCAGCCCAAAGTTTGGCAAAACTTGATGAGTCTAAGGTATTTATTTGAAGATTGATAATTTTTAATGTATACAATAATGAATACTCAATAATTTACATTGAACAGTATTTTGGCGATTTTATTCCACATTTTATAAAATATAAAGAATCGCAAAAAAAGATCAGTTTTCGTAAGTAATTTAATTGCTTAGGACATATGGGTAATTTATACCTAATATCGCCTTAATATATAGATGCACAAATGATGACGTAATGGATATTCGAGGAGAAAGCGGGTTTTCGAAATTTTTGTCAGTTGATGATTATATAAAATTACAATTGAAAAAGCCAAAGAGGAAAGTTGAAGTATCAGAAGTATGGCGGAATATTATTGAAGAGTATTTTAAGGTAATTATATCCTATAGTTCGTATTTGATATTTATATCAATTATTAATTTTATTATTTTATAAGGAAACAACGAATGATGGAACAATAAAAAGTTTATCCGATTGGATTAACATTACAAAGAATTTAAATATTTTAAATAAGAATGATAGTGAAGATGTGGTAAAAATTAAGGAGTACTTATATCGAGTGATGATTCCATTGTAAGTGTTAAGGTTTTATATTGTTATTAAATGCACATTGTTTCTAACATCTTGTATTTGCAGGATTGAATCATTTGCGAAACCAGTGCCTGATATTAGTGCACCAAACACCAGTGAGCACCATTATTGGGCTGAATTTGGACATCGTTTTTTTTAGAGCATTACAAGAATTTGTAGGTCTTGATTGGAGGGCGTAAGTATAAAGGTTAACTGATTTATTACTATATCATTATTGATATTATATTTGTTTTATTTGGTATGGAAGTTCCGGTGCGCGTCTCAAAATATAGAAAAAATTATGGGCATAAACACATCACAGATAAAGTGATTGATGGTAAATCTGCGGATTTATTAGCCTGGATAGAGAAAACGGGTGAAGAAATTTTTGTTGGGGAACAAGCCGGACCACCTGATTTAACAAAATTGGCAACAGATTCTTTCGAGAAATGAGGGACTGTTTAAATTTTCGAATCTTACAGGCTATGGGGAAAGGTGACATGAATTATAATAATCAGATTGTTTTTGGAGTATTAGGCTATCTTTTTGAAGAGATGATGTACACATTATTACAAATTATATTCATGAAGATAGGTTTTACCAGGAATATAGTCTATATAATAAGTTTTGAGGGTGAAGACTGAATTATTTATAAAGATAAAGAGAATTATGATTATTCTAAAGGTTTTCTAGTACCAATATTTATGAGTATTGTATCAACACAAGACAAAAATGAAATAAAACAAAGGGGAGTTATAATTTGTAATCATGAAAATTAAACTAAGAATAGGTATCAAAAATTAAAATAACAAATATTATAATAAAAGATTTAGTATGCTGATTAAATTCTTTAATAATATTTTTTCAATCATTAGGCAAACAAGAGATATATATCAAAAACAAAAGTTTTTATATATGAGGAAGCTTACAAGAATCTTCTAAATCAAATAAAATATACTTGATTTATTTTAAGTAAAAAATATTTACTATTTATATTTTTCAGGCAAAAAAAACATGTAATAATCAGAATATAATTTATTATAATAGAAGAGATAAATGAAAGCAGAATATCAAGACAAAAATCAAAAAAAAATTACAAGATAAGTATAACTCAAGTATTTTTAAAGATAAGTGAATTATTACTATTCAAGTATATTTATTTCATATTTAAGAACAAAGATATTTATATATCTTTAAGATTTTACAAATTATATCTAAATTCTATTTATAATTTATTTATTACTCTAATATATAATTACAAGTTTTAGAACAAAGAATTATAAATAATGAGATAAGATATATGTGATAAGTTAAAAGATAATATAAATGATAAATAAAATAAAAAGATAAGATAAATATTCTAAAAAGAAAAAGATAATAAAAAAAATAAATTAAATTTGTTGCTAAATTATTTTTAAGTATTTCTGAACTGTTATTAAATTATTTGTGAATTATTATTATCTTTTGAGCTAATTATACATTTAGAATCTTGAAGTGTTACTAAAATATTACAGAAATATTGCAAAAATATTACTGAATTATGATTAAATTCATAATTAATATATTAATTAAATTATTCAAAATCATATATTTTTTAAAGATTAACTGATTGGTTGAAAATTTCAAGTTTGAAAAATTATGAAATTAAAAAAATTTATGTTACTATGGTAATAATATCTATAATGAATATGGAAGCTTAAATATTACTTTTAAACTAAATCTGATTTTAAATATAAAGATAAGTATAATAAGATTATTAGAATTTATGATAAGTTTCATTTTATAACTTTATAATTATCTTTTAATTGATCTATTTTAATTTAATTATTTTATAGGTTATTATTAGAACTAAAGTAAAAAATAGTATGATAATAAAATATGATAATAATTTTATTTAAATTTTGAAAAGAAAGTTTGATAAGATTATTCAAATAAAATAATTATCTAATAAAGTTATGAAGAAATAATCTCTGCTAAAGAATTTTTTTATATATTGTTAATATAATATGCTTTAAGAAAAATATTAATCTTACAGTTCTTATTTCTTTATTATATTATTAATATATGCATTTTGACTGGTGATTAAATAAAAATGAATGTAAAAAATAATTGAGTAGCAGGATATTTTAAGAGAGAAAAGATATAAAAGAATATACTTGCTCAAAAGTCTACTAAGTTTTAATCTATATATTAACAGTTTCTTTTCTGCTACTCAGTAATAGTATAAATAATTATTATTTATTCAAGTATCTATCTTTTCTAAATTTTTGCTTCTTATACTATTTTTATAATAAAAATTCTTTATTATATTATATTTTTTTCAATTACTTTTATCTTAAACTTAAGAATATCAGTTGATATAATATTATATATCTGATCTAAAATATAATCATTTTCATTTTTAACTCTAAGAAAGATATCTGAAAATTATTTCTGAATTATAGAAATAATATTTACAAATTTTTAGTTTGAATTTGAGAAATATGATAAACAAGTAGAAGATGATGAAGTCTCATTTTATTAATCAGATTAATACTCTGAATAAGAAAGTATTATTAATTGATTTCACTCTGAAGTGTTATATTTATTTTGCTAACTGAAGTTATAATTTAACTAAAATTATTATAATAGATTTCTAGAACTTACTTAATTTTATTATATTTTTCAGTTATTATATTAATAATATTCTGTATCTATTATAATAGTTAGCATTATGAGAAGTTATTTTTGTGATAAAATCATTATTAATTTTGACTTTGATCTTGTCAATTTATTTAGTGATAGTAATATTAATCTTAATTTTATGAAAGTTTATTTTATTGATAATTTTGAGTCTAACATCACATAAAAAGAATCATATAGTAATGAATCTCATATATAAATAAATATTTTTGGAAAATATCTTTATAATAGCAAAAAATAAAGAAGCAGTTATAATTATAAAAGACATATTTTCTAAAATATTAAATAGTTATATTTATATAAAGAAAATTTAATTAGAATAATAATCATGAATATTGTTATCTTTTTGATATGAGTTTGATATAAGGATAAGTACTAATCCTAATATTACAAAAACACATAATAAAAATGATTACATACTTATATTGATATTGAAAGAGTCTTTAAAAGATTTATTAATAAGAATATAAATACTATTATTTCAAGATTTAACTAAAGATAGATAATAATAATATTCTTATTATAACTAGCTAGAATGTAGTTTAATTTCAAAATATAATTTCAAGATAAATGTAATATTTAGTTTATTAACAAAATGAAATAATAGATCTTAATCAAGATCTATTCTACAAGAGAGATTTCTTAAAATTCTCTTAAAACTAAAATTTACTTAAA